GCGTACAGCCAGTCGAGGCCAATGTCTCGTTGGAAGGCAAAACATTTGCAAGTTGATACGTGATCACCCCTCGTCCTCGCTCTCGCTCAACCACGGTGAGATTCTCCCCAAAGAGGACGTAGCGGCCGCTCGTGCAGTCTGGGGAAGATGAAAAACGAATATGACAAATCCCCGCCCGTGTGCCAGGGAGGCGGCGATGAAAACGAAGTTGTAACACCCCACTGGACCAGAGACGAATGCCAACCGCCCGGGAGACAAAAATGGGGTCGTTACCACCCCCAATAACGCTACTTTCGTTGCTCCCACCTCCCTGTGCCTCCTCCGCCTCCTTTTGTGAAGAGGAAAAGGGAATGAATCCACGCAGTGCCACGTCCAACACTTCAAATGTGATGTTGCCTGCCGGCACATAATGCACCCCATCATCAGAAACACAAACGCGCCCACGCATCGTCTGGTTGGGATGGACGATTGTCACCACACCCTGCATCACGGCAAATGTGTACTCCTGTTTTTTGTATCCCCAAGCACATGGTGACACCTTCACATGCTCATCCCACCACCCCACCCTCGCAACAATTTCCGATAGATCGGGAGCAAACATGAGCAAAAGTCCGTCCGTCCGTCCACCCGCGCCTGCCACCGTGTATGTACCCACAGTACCGGCTGCCACCACCAAATGAACCGCCCCTGAAAGTGATGCAATGCGTGTTTCCAGCGGCCATTTTTCTCTCTCTGGCGCAGAATTTGTTGTTGTTGTTGCTGATGTCGGTACATCAGTAGGCGCTGGTTTGCTCGTCGGTGCATGAACCGCCCCTGCGCGATACGCACATGCATACGCATTGGCCGGTGTGCCACAGGGAAAGTAGTACCATGCACCAGTGCGGTCAACGATGACACAACCACTATCACGTGATGGCTGCCCAAAGGCCCACAAGCTTTCCGCTAGAGTCGACTCCCACGCCGACGCACCGTCGAGATACAAACCATGCATTCCTCGCTCTATGTACGACACGCCTACCAGTACACGTTGTACGCCTACTTCAGCCACCAAACGACCGGCAAAGACACTTTCCTCTACAGACGTTATGGTAGCCGCATGAATAGTGTCAACTGCAGCAGAGTCCAAGAGCCGGCCACAGGACTCCTCCAAGTCGGCCGCAGCAACAGCACGATCCGTAAAGACACGAAAACAACGGTTGGTGGGTGCAAAATACACCCAATCATTGCTGCACAAATCCGATTGGTGCGGATCAGGTGTTGGATTGGTGGCGTTGGAGCCTGCATCTTCTGAAGAAGCAGAGCCGCTTTCTGGAGCAGCGGTTGGTACTTCTGGTTTAACAGAGCCGTCGTTGAGGTAAGCACATACAAACGGCAACGATACTCGGGTGTCCACCGCCCTCCAAGTACCGTTATTATCTACCGTCACGCATCCGAACGTCATACTCGGCTCTCCCACACCCCAATTTGAATACAATTTGTTCTTTGCCGTAGGCCATGTAGGGCTCGAAGGAAAGCTGAGCGCATAATCCTTCTCCCCGTACCACAAAGCGTCTTCGTACCACACACCCACTGAACCACGAGCTGTAAAGATTCCGCCAATAAAGACTTCAATTTGAGACAAATCATAGTTGTGATACCGTGCCCAGTCCTGCACCAGACTGCCAAGAAAGGCATCTTCTTCTGCATTCAAAACGGCAGTGAGAGTCACACGGGGATGAATTGACTGACAGAACCTCTGCGCCGCCTGCTGATTCATCCCTCTTTCTCCCCCGTCAATCAATTCCGCGTAGAGATGGTAACATTTGTCCTTATATGATGACCACCCATCGAGACATTCAAGTGGTGGTTGTGGTACCGGCGGGCGAGTGGGTTGCGGTGCATCGACAGGATTGTCCCCCGATGAAGAATTTGTTGTCGTAGCGTTACCACCACTGTCACTGCTATTATCGCCATCGTTACTGCTGGTGTTCCCCTCATTCAAAGGATTCCATTGAAACGCACAAACAAAGGGCCTTTTGGGGGTTTTACAGTCCACTATACGCCAAAATCCATCGCGTTGCATGGCGATGCATCCGCTATGCGTTTGCCAGTTCGTTGACGGAGAAAAATTTGTGTAGGGTGGCGCACCATTCGCATTTTTCATGCCATCCCACCAAACAATATCCCCGAACCCAGCTGCACCACCGAGCGCCACGAGTTCCCCCAAATCTCCAAAAAATGGATTCAGCAATCCCTGCAGCCACAAATTTTGCTCCTGGGAATGAACAGAGAGCGGTTGTGGAATAAGCTCCCTGTTGGCTTCACTCCAACCGCGGGGTGGGCGTAAGCCAAAGATGTGGGCACAAGCTTCAACCGTCTCTGCCGGTGCCACTCGAACCTCCTGCGGCTGGACGCACCACACCGTGGCGCTATCCGATGAACCGTCGTCACGCGCCTTTAGCTCCATCGGCCATAACGCCCACCCAGAGGGGCAGGAAGGAGAAGAAGAATTCCCCTGCGCAGTCACAGCCACGCAACAGCATGTTGCCCATGCAACCGACAGTAGCAACGGCAGCGTAACCCACAGAAATTCTCCTGTTTGGCTGCAGGGGCGATGGAACGCCTTCATCGACTGAGTGTTCAAAAAAGACGACATGCTCTTGTGCCCCATTGCGAATAATGTGACGAGAAGAGAGACCGACCCCTTCTTTGCTTCGACCCGCACCTTTGCGAAAATAATAATAATAAAACAAATTAAATACGCATGCAACACGAAAGCGGCAGCGGAATAGGCGGTGTCTGCGCAGTAATAAAAGAAAGAGAGAGGGAGGTGGGAGGGGGAGGGAGAGAGAGGGGAAGGTCAATTCCCACCGCGGTATCCGCATGCGCGGACACAAACATGTGAATTACAAGTCATATACGCATCGCCTACCGACAGGATTAAAGAAAGCCGCGTAGCCCAGGCAAAAGCCGGACAATACACAATAATAATAATAAGAAGAAGGAGAAGGAGATGAAAAAAAAAAAAAAAAGGAGAGGAGTCAACAACAAAAAAAAAAAAGACGGCGCAGAGGGAGAGTGGCTAAGCGCCAATGCGGTTCATTCGTAGACAGTGACGAGCAACTATGTTTTAAATACAAAAACACTCACACGCACCAAAACGTTACAAGCAGACGAAGTAACCAACCAAACAAAAAAAAAAAAAAAAAAAAAGGCCACGCTCCATTCGCGACTTGCCGATCAAACAACAATGTGACACCTCCTCCCTCCCTGCACCGCCACATTCCTTCTTTGCTTCCACATATAATTATTTTTTCTTTGCTTTTTTGAAAATGAAATGAACAAATAAATTTAAAAAAGTAAATGAAAGCAGCAGAAAAAAAAAAAAAAGAAAAAAAAAAAGTAGGGAGGAAAATACATGACTTTTCACATTCATCGCTGCACACACACACATATATACTTATATATATACATAATTATATACACACAAATTTTATTATTATTTAAAAGGCAAAATAATAATAAAAATAATAATCATAAAAGAAAGGTCAAAAAAAAAAAATAATTTCTTCTTATTTTTGGTTTGTTTATTTGTATTTGTGTGCCCGTCCGTTTCACTTGTTTTGGGCCTATTCCCGGGGGGGGGGGGGGTCCTTCTCATCTGTACATCCGAGAGCATTACTCCCCCCTTCCTCACACACCCCGCCCAGGCAAGAGGCGTGGAGAGAGAAAAAATAATAATAATAGTAATAAACATAAAGTCACTCCAAACCTAAAAAATAACGTGGCTGGCACACACCCAAAAAAAAAAAAAAAAAGGTCTCTACTACAGAGTCCAGTTGCATGCGCATGCTTCTCACTGTGCTCATCGGTTGCCCATTCATCTTAATTTTTGATTATTTTCCTCCTTCCCCAGAGAAACACACGCAATTCCATGCATTCCTCTCCTTCGCATCCCACCCTACTCATTGTTTTGTTGTTGTTGTTTTTTCTTTATTTTATCATTTTTTTTTTTTTTTGTTATTGGAGGAGAGAAAGGGAGAAAACTCCGTCCTGTCGTTGATTTGCATTGCCATGTACCCTTCCCCCTCTAATTCTTCCGATTGCAAGTCATTGGTGGCAAAAGGATGATCTGCAACCTCATTGCAGTCAACAGAAAGAAGATGTTCAGGATAGAGAGTCACCCATTTTTTCCACCGCGTAGCCCTGCGTAGGAGACATCACCTGATAATAAATGTCATTCAGCGCCGTTGTTTCCGCGGGGAACTTCGGGAAGTTTTCAAACACCACGTTTTCACCTTCGATACGTTTAAAGTTCACTTTTACCCCGCCGTTGCCCTCTGCGCCAATGGGCCTCGAGCAACGAACACCTAACACAACAGGGATCTCTGCTGCCCCCTCTGAATCCACGTCAGATGGCGCCGCGTTGCCGTTTCTGAAATGCAGCGGGTAGGTCTGGTCCTGTAGATTTGCAAACCAGGCTGTGCTTCCGCTCACAGTATCATCATTCTCCATCATACGGGGAATAACCAGGTATGGCGATTCATCGGGGGTGAGTCTGCACAACATGCTGATTTCACGTGCCTGTGTGAAGGTCCATTTGTCCCTTGACGGTTTTGCAGCGTCCACAGAAGTGTTGTTTATCACTTTGTGTTCGTCATATTTCCCTGCTTGTGCAGTAGAAAGGGAAAGCATCAAAGGCGGGTACTCATGTGATTTACCCAAATGACTGGTGTAGTCCTGCACGGTACGGGGATTAACGTTGGAAAGAATAAAACACATCCATACAGGACTGTCTACAGTTACCTCAATGACCAAAGAAGGGCGGCAGTCCGTGAAGAGCAGTGGGATGCGGTAGTCGTAGGACGGATGACGGTAAATCACCCCGCCTCCAGAAAAGTACTTCAGCACATGTTGCCAGTCCATCCAAATAACCTTATCATCGCGGTGACTGCTCCCACAGGCGTCTCTCACCTCCGGGTGCGAGTCCCATTCAGAACTCTCTGAAGACCATGGACCACTCCATTCTTCACAAGAGCCCCAAACGTTGCGGATTTGCAGAAGTTGCAGATCGCCTTCTTTGGGGAAGTAGCGCACATCCGTGATGGTGTAAGCATGGCCTGGCAAAATTCCAGTGCCACCAAGTATCCTCTCCAGCTCGGGTTCCTCGTCAAAGAGACTGGCAATCTTGTTGGTGCCAGATATAAACGCAGGCGCCTTTCCTGCGGTTGTCAAAATAATCTGGAACCCAGAGTCCTGGTAGTGGAGCAGTTGCTGAAAGAGTTCCTTCCCGCCATTTTCCTGTGCCACGGCGAAGACCTCGTCAAATCGAGAGGCGGGACACCCCGTCATATCCGTGAGGGCGTGAACGGGGTCGCCAGATTGCACCAGGCCGTAGCTACCGTTCAACTTTGCGAACGCCTTCTGAAGAACCGAGGGCCAAATCTCGCAGACATCGCTGCTGTGGGCAAACCTCAGCATCCCCGCATAGCCTGGAAAGTAATCATCCACAATAACGCTCCTCCAGAGGCCGCTTGTATTAAGAGTGACACGATACGCCCCGACCGCCCGCTCGCGCCGTGCCGTCTCCGCGCCAAAAGGGTTGCGAAACATCCGCATCACATCCCCCGGGTCTTCTTCAAGTGTAGCGATGGCACACATCAGCCAACAGTCTCCGAGCTCACCCTGTTCCACATCACCAGGAAAAATGGGTCTGCGGAAGAGACGCACCTGTTCGACATGCCCTTCAGGTAGATACATCCGTGGGCGTAACCAGAGCATCTTCTTTGGTGCCCGTGTTGACCCAAGTTGAATGCTCTTCCAGACCGGTAAGAAATCAAAATCGACAAATGGTACATTATTTTCAATACAAGACTTCAGCGCATGTTCTGCGCCTTTCCACTCGCCAACGAGGCTCTTCACGGCATCAAACTCCTTCTCCAAAAAATTTTCATGTTGCAAAGTCTCTCGCGTCTCAAAGTATTCATCAGAAAGTGGTAATGCACGTAACTGACTGCTGAAGCCATTCACGTACCCCTTGATAAAATTCTCCGTTTCAACAGGATAGACAACAACTTCGGCGGTGTAACTGCCGTCAGGCTCTTGGCGCATCTTTGTGTTCCCCAGCGGCTGCACTTTGGAATGTTTGCCAAATGCGCATGAGACATGCACCTCAAATGCAAGAGAGTCATTGTAGAAGGCCCAGGTTTTTTTCTTCTTGTCGACAATACGGTACAGCAGCCCGGGCTCCTCAAAGCAGGACATTACCTCGCCCTCTACGGTTGGCTCACCGTTTAGAAACTCGTTCTTGACCCCCTTTGTCCCTTCTTGAAATATCGGCTTCTGTGCAGTGCCGAGATCAAACTCGTCTTCCGGGTCATCCAACGGCGCGGCGAGTTCTATTCGCTCCCAACGGATCGGCTGCTTCAGTGACTTGTGTCGCAGATTCGTGGCGGATGTAAATTCCTTTCTTTCTGTACTCTCCACTTGAGAAACCGAACGGTTCCTGTCCTGGGAGTGCTGTGCTTCATCGCCTTCTTTATTGTCGTTGACGGAAACAACGTTATTCTGCGGCTTCTCAACCGTCTCAGAGGCTACCGACGAGGAAAAAATACTGGCATTGTCAAGTACCCCCACCTCTGTCGCAGGGTCTGAAGCAACGTCCGTATTGCAGGGATTAGCCGCGTAGTTGATTTCTGCCCGGTCACTTCGAAACGGCATGTCCTAAAGACTCTTCTCTTTTTTTTTTTTTTTTTTTTCTTGTTGTTGTTTTGAGTATTCGGCTTCACCTCTGAAGGTGGCACTCTCGCGTGTTTTTATTCCCTCCCCCAGGGAAAAAAGGAAGGAAACAACAATATTAATATACATACATGGAGACAGAGAGAAAGAGAGAAAGACATGCAAACTCAATCAAAGCAAAAAAAAAAAAAAAAAAGAAGGAAGAAATGCTGATAAACAATTTAAAAAAGGCAAAAAATAAAAGAATAAAAAAAAGGAAAAAAAAAGGAAAAAAAACTCCACCATAAGCAATCAAGGGTAAATGCATTCGTTACCACACTTCTCTCCATTCCACTGTATACATTAATTATTTTTTTCTCCTTTATATTTGCCCAGCAATATAAATTTCGTAATGCAGATCATACATGCGTTCGTACATATCCCAGATATGAGAAAGGGGTTATACGCAGTAGCTCACTCCGCAATTCCTCCGATATGCCAGTGAGCCCATTTATGAACTCATGCACCGTCTCCATTGTCACCTCACGGTTGCCACGTGTCAATTCCTTCAGGGCCTCATATGGCTTCGGGTAGCATTCACGACGAAGAACGGTTTGGATGCCCTCTGCAACCACCGCCCAGTTGGCTGATAAGTCCTTCTCAATTGTCTCACGGTGCACAAGCAGTTTCTCTATTCCCCGTACGATGGAAGCAAAGGCGACGCAAGCGTGGGCGATCGGTACACCCAAATTTCTCAGGACGGTGCTGTCTGTTAGGTCTCGCTGAAGACGTGATATGGGCAGTTTGGCGGAAAAGAAATTTAACAGGGCGTTGCTCGTCAAAAGGTTGCCTTCAGCGTTTTCAAAGTCAATTGGGTTCACCTTGTGCGGCATCGCGCTGCTGCCCACTTCCCCCGCCTTCGTCTTCTGTTGGAAAAACCCCATCGAAATGTATTGCCAAACATCGCGGCAGAGATCGATGAGGATCACATGCAGCCGTGCGCAGACATCACACAGGGCAGCCAAGTTGTCGTAATGCTCAATCTGCGTTGTGTATTGCTGACGCTTGAGGTTCAAGTACTTGGAGAGGAATAGATCACCAAAGCTGCGCCAGTTCACAGAGGGGTACGCCACAAGGTGGGCATTAAAGTTACCAGTCGCACCACCAAACTTACCACATGTGGGAATCTCAATCAACTGCCGGCGCTGCTCCTGGAGCCGTTCGATCCACACCATAAACTCTTTTGCAAGGTTTGTCGGGGACGCTGGCTGGCCATGCGTTCGCGCAATCATCGGCATATCCCATTCGCCAAGTTTACCTTCCAGTGTCTTCAATACATCATCCAGACCAGGAATGTACGTCGCCTTGATAGCATCGCGAAGCATCATTGGAATAGCTGTGTTGTTGACATCTTGTGACGTCAAACCAAAGTGAACAAACTCCGAGACGTGTGCAAGACCATTGCTGGCCATCCACTCCTTTAAAAAGTATTCCACCGCCTTAATGTCGTGATTCGTCACTCGCTCCTTCTTTTTAATCTCCTCCGCATCCGCAAGGGAAAACCGGTTCACCGCGATCTCGCGCAGCTGCTGGAGCTGTGCATCCGTAACATTCCGCAGCGGAACGATCGCCGGCACCTCCTTGCAAAGCGCAATGAAATACTCAACCTCCACACGCACGCGGTACTTAAAGAAAGCGTACTCAGAGAAATATGCGCGAAGAGGGGCGGTAGTGGACCTGTACCGTCCGTCCACTGGGGAAAGCGCAAAAAGTGGGGTGTCCTGTGTGTAATCAACAGAGCTCGACATGTCTTCTTTCCGTAAAAAAAAAAAAAAAGAAAAAAAGTCCTTCAATCACTTCCCTTTTATTGCAATTACTTAGCCCCTTATACGCTCCAGAAGACGACCCAACAAACCACAATATAAGCGCCCGAAGTACGCCTTGTCCCCTGTTCTTGCAAAATAAATAAATAAATAAATAAATAATACAACAATGGGGAGTTACAGTTTGGCTCAACGTACCCAACACACACACACACCTCAGTTAAGGTCAATCCAAGGCCAACACACCAGTAAAAAAAAAAGTAGTCCATAAAGCTTGTATGTGTTATACCAGGGCTCGTTGTAAACTCACAAGTTTGCATTGCTTTCACAGCCCCGCAATCACCGGAACCCTCCGTGTGGAAGGCAGGCAGAAGGGAAAAAAAAGGAAAAAAAAAGGAAAAAAAAAATTCCTTTGGTGTCTTACAACGCAGTTTCCTTGGAAATAAAACACGACCCATGGATGAAGAAAGTAGCGAAATGGAAATATACGCCATATTTTCTACTCAGGCCCGTCAGACCGCACAATTTTTCTAAACGCCATTAGAAAGGCTTTGGCTGGGCAGCGTACGCTACCCACGACTCACAAATTATTCTGAGTTGTTAATGTGCCGCGCAAAGCGAGGCAGCGCAAAGGAGGCCTTGTGCATTTCCGAGTCGTAGTACTTCAAATCCTTCGCAAACGGCATATCCTCAACAGGACGCAGTGGCTTCGTCACGTCCACGCCGGCCTTCTTAGAACAAACAAGTGTTCCAATTGAACCACAAGGATATGTGGGCACGTGCATTAATGCATACTGCACCGACGCAAAACCAGTCTCCCTGATGAAACGAGACATCCTCTCAATAAGCTCAAGATTCAGCCAGATGGACTCTCCTTGATTGCAGCATATGCCGTCCGGTTTCAGGATACGCAGCACGTCCTTGTAAAACGCCTCCCCAAAGAGCTTCGATGCAGGTCCAGCAGGGTCCGTGGTGTCAATAATGACCACATCATACGTGTTGTCTGGGGTCTGTCTTACAAACGCCAAGCCATCTCCCACACGGACCGTTGCTCGAGGATCCGTTAGGGAGCGGGAGATCTGTGGAAAGTGTTGCTTGCTTTGTTCCATCACTTCGCCGTCAATGTCGACGAGATCACAGTGCTCCACGGTGCCGTGCCGCAACACCTCCCGCAGTACGCCGCCGTCCCCACCACCAATGATGAGCACTCTCTCTGGCTTCGGATGGGAGCAGAGACTGGTGTGGCCAAGCACCTCGTGGTACACAAACTCGTCGTAGTCCGTGACCTGAATGCAGCCGTCGAGCGCCATGACAGTGCCCCATGGGCCCTTTGGGTCGCTCTCAAAGATGGTCAGGTGTTGGAACTTTGTCGGGGCGTCGTACAGAACCTTCTCCACCCTCAGCGACATGGCTTGCCCGGGCCACTGATCATTTTCCTCGCGAAACCAGCCGCCAGAAATTAGTTCGGAACCAGGCATAATTTGATGCTGCAAATCGCTTAGCGTTACTGCGCTGAAAACCGCAGCAAAATGTAAAAGAAAAAATAAGAACTTGAAGAGAAACTATATAAATAAATAAATATAAGCGCCCAAAGTACGCCTTGTCCCCTGTTCTTGCAAAATAAATAAATAAATAAATAAATAATACAACAATGGGGAGTTACAGTTTGGCTCAACGTACCCAACACACACACACACCTCAGTTAAGGTCAATCCAAGGCCAACACACCAGTAAAAAAAAAGTAGTCCATAAAGCTTGTATGTGTTATACCAGGGCCCGTTGTAAACTCACAAGTTTGCATTGTTTTCACAGCCCCGCAATCACCAGAACCCTCCGTGTGGAAGGCAGGCAGAAGGGAAAAAAAAGGAAAAAAGGAAAAAAAGGAAAAAAAAATTCCTTTGGTGTCTTACAACGCAGTTTCCTTGGAAATAAAACACGACCCATGGATGAAGAAAGTAGCGAAATGGAAATATACGCCATATTTTCTACTCAGGCCCGTCAGACCGCACAATTTTTCTAAACGCCATTTAGAAAGGCTTTGGCTGGGCAGCGTACGCTACCCACGACGGGTCATTGCATCATATGTAAAAAAGCCCAACAATCCATTTTACATAATAATAAAAAATTTTAAGCACATCAAAAACAGATGCCTCAACGTTTAACGGCGGAAATCATTCAACGTTCACAATGATATGGGCGCTCACACAAGTATACCGACGGTGCCTTTTTCGAACACATCGTCCACGCAAAACTCGGACATAAAGCCGAGCCTCTGCCGCCCCAGTGCAGCAAAGTCAGACGGCTCGCAGTGCGGTGTCGTCGAAGCCATCAGAAAGAAGTTGTCGGGCAAGTCATCCAGCATTCGGATGTTCTCCATTTTTTCCCACACGCCACGACGCACCAGAATTGGCAGGGAGACTGACGCACGCTCCTCCTCCGTTTCGCCGCCCTCTTCACACCGACGCAAGAACGCCGCAACATAGGCCGCAAGAGTGACATCGCACACGCTCTCCGTCGGAGGAACCGGTTGCAGACCAAAATACGACGCCGCCAGCGCTGTTGCAACCCCCCGACGCACGCGCAACGTCCCCTCCCGCTCCAGCGGGCACGTCCAGCGGTAGCCGGGCTGCATCAACGCGTTACGGAGCGCCGCAAGCGGGTATTTTCGCGTGCCAGGCTGCACAGTGGCGGGCCAGCAGCAGCCACCACCCACGTCGACGAGAAGCCCCAAGCTGGCGGGGCAGGAATACAGTTCGCCTGCGCGGCCCATCGCCCAATGCCGCAGCACAGTGTTGAGGCTCCAGAAGCAGGCACCGTCCTCGCGGAGACGGTGCTCAATCCGCACCAAATCTGCATCCGCCCCATCACTTTCCTTCCCGCCAAGCACCTCTGACAAGTGGAACGACGGCTTCAAAGTGCAGCGCTTTCCACCGGGAAGATTTGCACCACCGTCGTCCTGCTCCTCAGCAACAAAAAGCGTACTGAGTACGGCAGTTAGAACGGGTAGTGTTTTCTCCCGGCTGCGTACACCCCCCACCAAGAACCACTCCGCGACCAGCATGGGGGTGTCAGAATCAGAAGATTCAGTTGTCGTTGTTGCTGTTGTTGTTGTCTGCGCAATGCGGCGCAACCGCTCAAGGAGGTCCAACGCCGCGCCCACCTCACCACACTCACCCACCGCCGCGTCACCGTCACGCAGAGCCGCATGGAACCACGCGGGCAGCGCGGCCTCTCAGAGCATTTCGTACAGCACCTCCGCCAC